ACCTAGCTGCCTGTGCGACATGATGCGTATCAATCTCTGCAGATGGATGCTGAGCAAGACCCAGGTCTGAAGAGGACATGGGTTTCAGCAGATCCCATTTGGACAGTTGGGTAGTGCTACCAATGATTCTGAACTTCTTTGCCACTAAAAAAAGTCCATCTTTGTAATTCTAACATTCTCCCAGTGATGCTGTCTGCCTATGAGTCATGGAACATGGTCTTAGATGAATCACAATTACAGGTCACCCAGGGGGCATTGGAAAGACGGATGGTGGGCGTAAGTGTTCTGAAGCCTATTACCAACAAGGACTTGTGCTCTGGATAGAATAAAAATGGGACCATCAAGTATGTCTGAATGGCAGCGGAAGGCAGCCACTCATGCAGGAAGACGGAAGGACAGCGGATAACCAGCCTGAGAGTCATACTGGGGAGATCTTCATTGGAAGATTTAGAGAAAGAGGGGGCAAGAATTTCAGAGGCTGGGTGTGTGTGTGAATCTGTCACAATCCACAGCACTGGAGGCAGCTCCCGCACTGGCAAGACCATTGATTCGTCAGAAGATCTGAATAATAAAATATATGCCTGATTTTTTCTATCCTAGGAACCAATACTTTATGCATGGAGCAGTTTTCTTTAAGCACATGGGGAGGTGACTTGGGAAAAGAGGACAGGAATACATTTATTAAGTGCCTGCTCTGTGCTGGGCACCATGCCAAGGGCTGGGGAAAAACAAATCAGTACCTGTGCCCAAGGAGCTTACATCATACTGGGGAATGAGAATTTATGGAAAGACAGCAGTATTAAAGAGAGACAGAGTTCTGAAAGCCTGAAGAGCTCTGATCAATCCAAGAACCACTGACAATTCTTGTGGACCCAGGATAGAGCGTGTTCCCCGCCCCCAGAGGATGATGTACTCAAGATGCAGAATGAAATAGACATTTTGGGACATGGACAATATGGGTGGTTATTTTACTTTATTCGTGTTTATTACAAGAGCTTTCTTTTTGTTTTTCTTTTTAATTTGGTAGTGGCTTAGGAGGGAGAGGGCAGCAGAGAATAATCCATCAGTCAACTCGTTTTTATTAAGTGCCTACTATGTGCCAAGCACTCTGCTCAGCGCTGGAGATACGAAGGAAGGAAGGAATGGAGGGAGGGATACAAAGAAGAAAGAGACAGAAAGAAAAAAGAGAAAGAAAGAAAAGAAAGAAAAAATTTTAAATGCATAGACAATAGTAGAAGGAAGATGAGAATCATAAAAAAAAGATAGCTTTGAAAGTTATATCTTGATTTTATTTATATATTTAAATATGTATTTATTATATATGTATTTAAATATTTAAATATTTTGTATATTTAAATACATATTTATTATATATTTATATATTTATATATATTTATTTTATGTATTTATATATTTAAATATATTTATTATATATATTTAAATATTTTATATATATAAATATATACTTATATATTTAAAAAGAAAAGCAAGCTGTGCATGAGAAGCACCATACTCTTTTTTCCCCTTTTTTTCTCTGTATATGGAAATGTTCATTGTATTTCATGTTTGTTGAATTCAGAATCTCTTAAAAATTCTAAAAAAAAATTTAATTCTGAACAAATAATCAAACAACACATTGTACTGGGGACATATGCCATACAAGAAAATACCTACTAAGTGAATGCAAAATCATTAAAAGTAAATTCAAGAAGGAAGAAACTTTAACAATTGGATGGGGGTGGGGTAGAATCAGTAAACAAACTTCTGAGTTTTAATGGGCCCCCAAATCCACCAACACTCACCCTTCCAACCTCAGACTGGCTCTGTGATCCTGGGAATGTCACTTCTCAGTGCCCCCAGGAATCTAAGACTGGAAGGTAAAGAGGCTGATAGGTGTTGGTGGAGGGAGTTCCTTACCATGTGATGAAATCACAGGTCCAATAATATATGTTATATATTATTATATATCATATGTAATTATGTTATGTATTTTATTATATTATATTTTTTAAATATATATGTATACATGAAGTACTGTTCATACAGAAACAAAAGTGAACCAGTCTCTGCCCTCAAGGGGTTTAAATTTCACTGGAGATACAACATATACAATGACAAATAGATATAAAGTATGTCCAAAATAAAAGGTAATTCCAAGAAGGAGAGAACATTTAATAGGGGAGGATCAGGAAAGGCCTCATGTAGGATCTTATCCCTCAATGTGTCTTGAAGGATTCTGTGGATTCTCGGAGAAGGCAAAAGTGAATATGGTCCACATTGCAGACATGGCAGCTCTACTTATACAAAGACCCAGAGGTGGGAGATTGAACCATTGGCAGGATGGTTTGACTAGAAGTTGTTCAGTCGTGTTTGACTCTCCATGACCTACTCTGGGGTTTTCTTGGCAAAGATACTGGAGTAGTTTGCCATTTACTTCTCCAGCTTATTTGACAGATGAGGAAACTGAGGCAAACAAGGTCAAGTGACGCTCAGGATCACACCTCTAGGATGTATCTGAGGTCAGATTTGAATTCACAAAGATGAGTCTTCTTGACTCCAGACCCAGTGCTCTATGCACTATGGCACCACCTAGCAGCCCCTGACTAGAGCTAAGAGTGTATAAAAGAAAGTCATATGAAATTGGATCAGAAAGTAAGTGGGAACTGGAAGGACCTTAAATACCAAGTTGAGCATAGGGGAATAGGGGGGCATTGAAGACTGTTCAGTGGGTGGGGATAGTGTGTGCAACATGATCAATCCGCATTTTAGGACTTGGTAAGATCCTAGAAGTTGGTAACATTGACAGCCAGCATTTTGAGAATGGATCGGAGAGAGGAGAGCCTAGAAACAGGGAGGTAAATTAGGAGGCTAATGTAAGAGCTTGGGTGAAGAAACGGTGAACAAATAGATTCTCAACATGAAGAAGTAGGGACGATGCTTCGTCAACCGCCTCTTTACTGATGTCTCGTACGTGGATTTAGGTGACGTGGGCATGAGAATCACCTGATTCGATGAGCACCTGCCTCTCTCAAAAGGCTATTAAGAGCCTTGCTACAATTAGGCTTTAAAAAATCCTCCAAGTTTTTTGAGATATAATAATTGTGCCAACACCAAATATCATGCTGGTGTAATTATTTTACTTTATTCAAACATCTTAGATTTTTTTCTGTCAAATAGTATTCGCACTTCCCAGATGATACAGTTTTATGTAATATACATATATTCATTTGAGATTTGAACAAGTAAAAGGAATTTTAAAAATAGGTGAGTCTATTTTCTGAAGCTAGAACACAGCTGAGGTTTTGTACCCTCCACGTTTGTGATCGCAGATTGAGGCTTCATCTAGCTGTTTGGACATGTTCTTGTTGATAACATAAGTTATGAAGGAAATATTGTGTAAGTTATGTGCTTGTAACTTCACTGGGATGTAGACAATGTTTCCATACCTATCCTAGCCCTCTGATAGGTTGTGGAGCGTGTTTGGAGGGATTATAACTTCACTCACCCACATTCAGAACCAAGTTGGAGCGGTGAATAGGGTTGAGGGACAATGGTGGGTATGGATCAAGTGTGTTGTCCTAGAGCAAAATGGCAGCACCAAGGGGTCATACCAAGGCACAAGGAAGTGGAGAATGTCTCAGAACCACAAGTGGTCAGCCTGGTTTTGCTGCCTAGTGTAGCAGGCGAGGCGAGGGGCCTGGAAGTTAAGAGAACTGAGGTCTGTTCTATAGCCCTCTAAGAAATCAGCTCAATCCAACAAGCATTTATTGTGCCTACTATGTGCTAGGCAATGTGGTATAGTGAATAGAGGGCCGGTTCAGAGTCAGGAAGACCCGGGTTCTAGTCCTCCCACTAACACACCAAGCTATGTAACTCTAGGCATGTCATCTTATCTTCTCGAGCAACTAAGACTGTATGTTGCAGAGCAGTTATTGACCTGAATTGATAGAGTATTTCCTTACCAGGTATTCCATACAATGAAACCATAAGTCTGATCCAATGTAACAGGCATTGGAAACCCAAAGGCAAAAATGAAAATAGTCCCTGTCCTCAGGGAGCTTACATTCTACTAAAGAGAAACAACCTATTTAGGAAGAAAAGTAAATTAAAAAAAATTTTTAATGCAAAGTAATTTGGGCAGTGATTATAAACAAATACAGAAGGAAGCAGAGTATTTAGTTTTTTATATTTTTTTTTTTGGCTAAGCAATGGGGTTAAGTGACTTGCCCAGGGTCACACAGCTAGGTAAGTGTTTTGTGTCTGAAGCCAGATTTGAACTCAGGTCCTCCTGAATCCAGGGCCTGTGCTCTAGCCACTGCACCACCGACCTGCCCTAGATTAATTTTTAAAGTAGGTCCCAAACCTCAATTTCCATTATGTCCTGCCTGAGTGAAGCCTTTTTGATGGGGATATTGGCCAACATATTACATGTCTGACTGATTTCATGAAAATCTTTTGAACCTTTTTAAAGCCTTTTTAAAATCTAGTCCTGAAATGGGCCTAGACAATGATACCTCAGGCTACCAGCCTCTTTCTAACTCCCTTGGCATATTTTAAACATAGGGAATCCATCCACATATGGCATGGGGGCTAAGCTTCTGAAAATTCCATATGGGTTTAGATCTAAGGGTGCTTAAAAAATCACTTTAAAATAACATTGAAGTAAATACCCAATTTCTGGCCATTGTCTCAGACAAAAATATCTACAAAATTGATTTTCTAGCAAAGAAATTCTTCACTTTTTTGTGTCGTAGATCCCTTCGGAAGTTTGGTGAAGCCTAAGGACCTCCCCTCCCTCCTCAGAATCATGTTTTTAAATAGTTTTAAAAAGGCTAGAGGTTAATGAAAATAAAGGCACATTGTTGAGACAAATAAGATGATACATACAATATGTCTTTGGAAGCAAGCTGAGATTTTTTTTAACGAAAGGGAATTGAGATCCTGGTGCTGGGTCCAGCCAGTGTTCATCTCTGAGCATTTTTTCTCTTCTCTTTTTCTAGGTGATTTCAGCAAATAAGAAGATCCAGAATGCTTACTGACCCATGACTCCCAACAGTATGTCAGGTACCTCCATCTATCTTGTATGTTGATGACATTCGTGTTGTTTGTGGGTTTGTCCGCCTTTTAATGCTGTCTTAGGGCCATTATTTCCAAGACAACGACAGTAGAGTTAGACCCAATGAAACTCCCCACGACTGCATCTCCACTCCTGGCCAGGACAGGCATTTTAGAGTCTCACACAAGATTTTAAAATGATGCTCCTGCACATCAATAACCAATGAAGCCTGTGAAATTTCACAATAACGTAGGCCACTTCACTTAACACAAAGTAAATACTTTTAGGTCCTGGCAAGTACAATTTTCTGCTATTAAAAATATGTCCAAATTAATAAGAAAAGATAGCAAAGTAAAGTGAATAAGGTGGTTGACCTTAAAGTCAGATAGATCTGGATTCACATTCTGCCTCTTAGGCATCATAACTGTGTGACCATAGGCAAGTCACTTAATCTTGTTGTGACCCTAAGTAACTGTCTAATCCTATATATTACAGACAAGTTGCCAAACTGTCCTCATAGGGAGTTTCCATAATGGGAGTTCTTCATACTCTGTACCCTGGGAAGGAAGGAAAGAAGGAAGGAAGGAAGGAAGGAAGGAAGGAAGGAAGGAAGGAAGGAAGAGGCAAGAAGAGAAGAAACCCTGGTCGATCTGTATAGTGGCCTTTAAGCAGCTGTCTGTATTGCCTGCCTCCAGACTCAGTTCTACCAGTATCTGAAGACCCCCTCGCTAGAGAAATAGAGGATAATACCATTTTCAAGGCTTCATGATGGCTTCTCATCCGATGTTGTCCCTGGACATGCTCTCACCAGATGCTTTAGCTCTTCCAGGGTCCTGGAGCTGACTTAGGAAAATGTAACTAAATACAGACTCGATTCATTCTTTACACTTGGTAACCCCAAAGTGTTCGTGCATCTTTGTCAAAATGAGCAGGTTCCTCCTTTACTGTTGAAAGATGGCCAAGATAAGATAAACATCAGTTATAAACTCTAAATGAGTTTCAGGAGATGACAAATGGCAGATGATAGAGAAAGTAACTAAATCTGGGTGTGAGCACCAAGTAACCAGAGAACAGTGTCGGTATAATGATTTCCCGTGGGTTTCCCCTAGTGATCTTTGTAGGCTGATAGCACTTGGACATGGCTGCTTTGTGGCCCTGCCAATGTCTTCTCATTGCTTGTTCCGCAAATAGATCTTAGGAGTAAGTAGGGTCAAGGGCCTATATGAAAGCACTTCCCTTAAAATGCAGGTTCCTTGAAGGGACTGGCTCGAACAGCCATCAGAAAGGACCTGGAGAGAGAAGTTTTGATTGGATTAGGCCTAGCTCATTTCTTGACAGGGAATTTTCTTGAAAAGTCACCAGGTTACCAGGGGCTGGGCTTTGCATTTATAGGCCTAGTCAGTCACTTGATCAGTAAGCATTTATTAAGTACCTTCTGTGTACCAGCCACTGTGCTAAGGATACAAAAATAGTCAAAAGAAAATCTCTGCCTTCAAGGGGCTCAGAGTCACTCAGAATGTGAAAAAAAAAAACCCTTGAGCGCAGAAATTATTTGGATTTTTTTTCTTTATATCCCTAATACCTCTCACATTGTAGGTGCTTAATAAATACTTGAATTGAATTAACATATGTAGTTACTGTAGCAGAGTACTTTTAACACAGTAGATGCTTAATAAATGAGTTGTATTGGACTAGATTGCATTGGGTTGGGTTGAGTTGGGATGGACCAGTAGAGCTAGTGCAGTGCCTTGCAATTGTGGGTGCTTCATAATGTTGGACCGCGTGAATTGAATTGGCTGAGCACTGGGGTTCTGGTCCCTCTTCAGTGGGACCTGGTCAGGGTATCTTAGCTAAGGGATGCTCCCAACATCTCCAACTACCTGGGAGTCAAGAGGGGGAACCCAGGGCCTTCCTTCAAACATTATTACAGTATATGGTGGGGCGTGGGTGCGAAAATGGCAAAGACCTTTAGGGAGATCAAAAGCATCAGTGTTTCCTGATGTCTAAATAGTGTATCCGAGGCTGCAGCTCCTCCATCCCAGACCTTCAAAACCCCATTCACTGACTCTTCTCTAGGTCAATTTTCCTAGTAAAGAGAGAAGTATTCATGTGAAAACAGGCCTGTGGCTTTTCTTAGCCTCTCAGTTGATACTTTTAGGTAAACAGTTCTGATCTTCATTTGCACATTTTCTTTTACCTGGTGAATCTTAGGTGTGAGTTGTTTCTGTGATGACAAGTAGAGTTCGTTTTCTTTAACCTAAAAAAAAAAGATGGCTTTCCTTTTGATGATTCAAAAGCAACTAGACTTCATCTGCCCAGAGCATCCCTCAGATATGTCAATTGCCAGATAGGATAATTGCCCTGGGCTCCAGATTTAAGACAACCGATGGCCCCTGGTCAGTGACTCAGGGAGGCATTGGGTGCATGAATCAAAGATTCTGACGTTCCTGTATGGACAGTCAGTCCTTCTTCCTACACATACACACACACACACACACACACACACACACACACACTTTTGGTAACTGTTTTTCTCTTTGGGGGTTCTTTCTTGGTGTCCATCTTATCCCAATTTCACCTGAATAAAATGGGGAGGGAGGAAAGTACATGAAAAGGAATGACCACTTCCACATACCCAACAAATGGGATTCCTTTTATGTATGTGTTGGCCACTTGAGGTCCCTTGCCACTCTCAGATTCTGTGATTCTGATTGTCCAATCTTTGTTGGAGGCCTTCAGGGAGGAGAGACCCCACTCCATCCTGAGGAAGCTAATTCTACTTTTTATACCTCTGAGTATTAGGAAGTTTTTCCCAATACCCAACCTAAATGTGTTAGAGCTCCTACCATTCAGGCAAAGAGATCAGGTCCTATAGGTATGGGAAGTTACACACATTTCTCTGCTGGTTGGTTTTGCTTGACTCTTGTTACAAAGGAATCATGCCTCAATGGTTGGGGAGGGAGGGAGAAAAAGTCATCATAAATAACTGTGGCATAAAAACAAAGGGCATCGGTCAACCATAAAAAAGTTTGAAATGGTAGGGGAGGGCAAGAGTACAGAGTGTTATTTGCTTCAGGCCATGCCCCCAACTGGTCCTAGAGTAAACCCAGCTTTGTTGATAAATCTTGGCAAGTCAGAAGTTATGGATGAAACCTATCTGGAACCCTAAAGGTGAAGAAGAGAAAATTGGGATCAAGTCAATGAAATATCATTGGTAAATAGCTGCACAAACATTTATTTGGGTTCTTTTTAACTTTCACTTCAGATGGGTGTGGGAACTTCATTTAGCTCTTTCTCAGATTGATTTCCTCAGAGTGAGCTCCAGAATCTCAGGGTTAAAAGGACCTCCTCCTCCAGAGGCAGTCTTGTCCAACGCCCACCCAGTGCTTAACACAATGCCCAGCACATCACTGATGCAAAATAAATGCTTATTGACTTGACTATCTGAAAATAAAAATCCCCTCTGTGACACACATCAAGTTGAGCCCTTTTGTCCAAATTGTTAGGAAGCTTTTTTCCATGAAAATCAGTCCACCTCTCTGCAACATTAACCAATCGTCCTAATTCTGTCCTTGACAACCAAGCAGAGCCAGCCTAACCCTTCTTCCAAATGACAGCCTTCGACTACTTCATAGTCGAAGATAGCATAGATGTCCTCCCCAACTGCTCGTCTTCGCTAACCATTCCCGATTCCTTCAACTCTGCCTCACGTGGCCCTGTACTGTCCTCACTGTTCATTGTTAGGTACCCTTCAGCTTATCAAAACCATTCCTAAAATATGTTTCCCAGAACTAAATACCAGACTCTAGATGTGCCCTGAAAAGAGCAGGACAGCAGGATGGAATGCAGCTAGAGTATCGTACCTAAGGCTACTTTTAAAACCCTTTCCCCCATGTTTTAATGTTTTCTTTTCTTTTTTTTCTTTTTTGAAACAAAGGCGAAAATAATAGAAAGAAATGTCAACAACTTCCCCCCCTCCTTTTTTTCATCTTTAGAGCATTTTTTTAAAAATTGAAGCAATAAATTAGAATTATGATTTCGAACGAGCCACTCAGACTCAGAGCAAGGTTATCATTTTGAAAACTACCTTATGGAATCCAATCTTTTCTTCTCTGCCATGCTACCTTTTTTTACATCAGCCACAGTGTCAGCTCCATTTGGTGACCTTGACAAAAATAAAAGTCATGACCGATTTCAGCTTTGATTGCATAGCACTGTTCTCTGGGACACTCAGTACTCCTGTGTTTAGGATGTGACAGAGAAAAGAGGACAGGTCGGTATTGCGGAAGATAAAAATTAATAATTAGAAGGGGAAGGCATCGACTGTTCTTTGTCAAAGTAGAAAGCCCAAAGTAGAAAGCACAAGCGTTTTTAAGAAATCAATTTCGTTTTCCCTGTATGGCATAGGAAGGCACTGGCACTTTCAGGTCCCCAGTTTCCTCAAATCACAAATGAAAATTATGCTCCTGTTGATAAATCATCTGGATGAAGGGAACTTTCCATCAGTGAGTCACTCAAAGTGACACTGGTCATCTGTGGTCATTACTTCTTAGAGAGGAGCATTTTGAAGTGGCTGCATTTCCTCTCCAAATGAAACTCCTCCATCCCTGATGGGAGGAAAGCACTTTGTAAGCCTTTCAACGTTATAGAAACGTGAGTCATCATATCTTGATGTCTAGTCATGATAGACCCCGGAGCTTCCACCCCCACCCCAAACATGGATCTTAGAAGTTCCTCCAGCCTTTGTAACTCAGGAACTCGCACTGATGTGTTTACTTATTGATGTTTAATCAAAGGGCATGGCAAAACAAATGATGAGAAAGAGAAAAAAAATACCTTCATCTACAGCCTAGTGACTGGGGCAACTCACCTCCAAAGTGCTGTCCCAAATAGCAGGGTAAATACAGCTTCCTATCCACACAGGAAAAGGTTTTATCAGCTCTTTAGTTTATGGGCCAGGGTTATTTTAGATCTCTTGTGACTTAGACCCCTGGCCAGATAGCTATAG